AGCTCAGCTCCGATCGGAATTCAATAGAAATATATCATATCCCAAACCCCAATCCCTTGATATTCGGACGTCCGATTCCCAATAATCTGGAATCGATCGCGACCCCCGGGGGGAGGGACAGGGGGCATCCCAGACCGTAGGGAACCTTATAAGGGGAGGGGGGGGATCCCATGGGGTGGGTGGGGGGGATCCTAGCAGCGCTGCATCCTATATATATATATATGATATTCTGACCTATCTGCTGTATGCTTCTGAAATTAGCATTTCTTCCATAAAATTATTTCGCTGGAAGATATTCTTCTCAAACTAACGTCTACCGATATGGATATGCTATATGATCTGATGATGCGAAAGATGATATAGATAATTTTTCATTATAGGAATCAAATATTTTTTCTTATTAATACGGATATAGAACCAGATTCTGATTTGAGATTTAGAAATTTTTCATATATCAGAAAAAGCACATATTAAATAGATATCAAGAATAAAAAAAATATATGAGAGGGACTCAGCTTTATAGATTCCGATGATATATGAATTTCGGAGCATATATTTAGAAAGATCTTTCTATTAATATTATAGACGAAAAATTGATATATAGATTAGATTAGATCATAGGGAGGACCTGGCCATATTTTGCTTTTAGATTAACCTAGATTTTTACTCGTTTTAAAAATATATTTAAATGAAAAACTTTTTGAAATCAATATAATGGTTCAGCGATTCATATTGGTATATATTTCTGAATTATTCAAAAGAAATTGATAATACTATGAAAATAAATATATCAATATAATCATTGGTATCATTTATTCTTTTATTTCATGATTTTGAAATAAAACAAAATATTTCCTTTTTGAAATATTATGAATAAATATATTTTCGTCTCGATTTAATCTGCTCAAATATATATATATATATATAAATAAAGTCGTAGAATATTTTTATAGATATGCTTTCAATATAGATCTCTATATTTACTTCTTATTAGATACGCTCTTGCTCCAATATTTAATTTATTCATATTCGTATATATCATCTTTAAATTCGATAGATGCTCTCCAGGATTGGATAGATTACATATTCCTATTTGAATATTTTCAGAATATATAGAAGAATTTCATATATCATTGAATAAAATCGATATCATAGAATATAATGCTTATGAATTATTTTATCGGGATTCGTGATTTCATATCAAATATTTTTCATAAAATCCATTACAGATGATATGAGAAATATAGAGAGAAAGAAGATGATGTTGTGCATATTTCTTTATATATATATCTTTTTTGAAATTAATTACCCAGAAAAAATCTTAGACGATATATATATTTTTATAGAAAATGATAATTTACGGGGAAGAAGAAGAGAGAATTTCCGAAAATAATCAAAGAAATAAAGAATTCGGAACGCCCCCAGGCTCGAACCAAATAGAAACCAAATACGATAATTGCGAATAAGATACGAACGCAAATGATAGGCAAATACGAACCCGGATCCGAATCAGACACGGAACCAGATACGAACCGGACACGAACTCAGATACGAACCAGACACAAACCAGATACGAACCCGAACACTAACCGAAATACGAATCCTGATATACCACTGATACTAGATTTCATTCAACAAGCACAATACTAGAGCCTCCGCCCAAAATCTCTGGATTACTAAAATAACGATAATATCTCCTTAAAACTACCAAAATTTGCAAGTTTTTAATATCACGATTTTTTTCAAAATCTCCAAAATCTTCGAACTTTTATTATCCTCGTGAATTAAAATTTCTATTTCGAAATTTCCAGAATTTTAGTCGCGCGAATCAATCACGCAAGAGATTTTCCCGAAGATATATAAAAAAAACAAAACCCAATAGAACAAAGCGCGTATAGAATTATAGAAATAAGCAACATATCCTATTCGAGAATATCCAATCTAAATATAAATATCTGAATTTCTTATTTTCTCCAATATATGAGAAAGATCACGATAAGATCTCGAAGAATCACGAATATACTTCTATTTTTATTGTTTATTTAATAGAGAATTTGATTCGACTTTTATTTATACCCAATATTACAAATAAAATATTTATTACAGGTATTATTGTTTTCTCTCTCTCTCTCTCTCTCATATAAGTAGTAAATTCTATATCAATATATATTCGATATTCAAATTCTATTAATGCTAGTATTCTCATAAATCTTCTTAATCAATTCTAGTATTATTTTTATTCTGAATTGTAATTATCATCAATTTTTTGATACGAATATGCATATTATTATCCTCCATATCTATACAGAATATAATAATACGAATTTATATGGATGTCGATATGAAGATTTCGTTCTCTTTGGCTCTCCTGGATATATTTATTGGATGCTGATCCATCGACCCCAAAGGATTCTGATTTTTTGTGCACTCCATGGTGAGGCCGTTGATCTGGTGTGCTCTTGCACAGGTCATGCGCGGCCAACGAATTGAGGAACTACCTCGAAGCAACGCAGCCGGCAGGTTGGACGCCTGGCACCTGAGTACCCAGAAGCTCCAAACTTCGTCAGTGAGGGGTTGTGGAGCTTCTGATACAACGTGCTGGCGGAAGTACGCAGGTGCAAGCTGACCCAAATGCACACTAACTTTGGGTACTGGTACATGAGCAAAACATTAACACATAGAAATTCACATGTTTCGTTTGCACTTGATCCCTGCAAATCTGTCTGTATCTGCTAGTATGTATGGCTCTCCGCAAGTATTTGCAGGGTTCAGGAACCTACTCAGGATGTGGTTCCGGGTCGGGTTAGCAGGTGGGAATTTCAGAGAATATCAGAATTTTAGGACAGCAACACGGGACCCCTACGACTTGCTGGCAGAAAACAGCCAGCCGGCCCTCAACTATGTGACAGGTCACTGCTAGTCACAAAAGACCAAAAGTAAGTGCCCTCCCAAACAACTCAAAAGCCCCAAGCTCGCTGAGGGCAGCGCGCATTCAGCCTTGGCCGGTTGCACCGGCTTCTTCAACTCCAGGCTGCTGACATCGTGGGCTGCCGACACGCAGGCCTGGCTGGGCTTGCGGGTTGGGGCTCTGTCCTGCAGGGAAGCTATAGCGACAGCCATGACACCGTCAGATTGTCCGGCTGCTCCGCGGCGGAAGACGCTAAGACCTGCAGCCAGCATGCCGCAATAGCTGACGGCAGGCGTGAGATGATGTAGAGCAGAATTGCAAACTCAAAGGGACCAACTGAAGCCAAGCCACAGTGAGGAGGCAGTCGATGCGCTTCAGCGCGAGGTATTCAGCCTGATAAACAGTTTCAACATGATTCACATGCTGGATAGCTTTGATAGCTGATGCCCGTCAGAGCCTGCCGGCTGTTGGCCACCTGCTTTGCGGCATTGAAGGAGCTTTCTTCCATGACGGCCTGAGCTTGAGGGTGAAGTGAGGCCCCTAATCGCCATCTTTCCCTTGCGTTTCAGCCTCGGAGGTGTAGCAAGCGTCGTAGTTGCTGCATGCCGCCACCTTCGCCGCCCACGGCGCGCCTCAAGTCAAGTAGTCTGAAAGAGTGAGAGCGTCGAGCTTCATGGAAAACAGAGGTGCCGTGACTCGAGTGCTCTGTGCAAAGACACCAAGGGGACTGCAGAACTCCTGCGTCACGGCCTAAGTGGGCCCAGTGGCCTCACATGATCTCCCAAGCTTCCGAGCCGTCTTCACCTTCTCTCGCTTGAGGCCCAAACCGGCGTGGACGAATCTGGAAGGGCATGGATTTGGGCCAGGTGAGCTTCCAATTCCAAGCACTCCTGCGACAGAAATGCAAAACCCTATATACTCTAAAAACCCACCGCTCACCGCCCAGCTCCTGCACCTTCGATGTCAACTCGTCAAAAGCTTTCGCACACTCTGTGACCTTCGAATCGAAAGCAGTTGTAGCCGCCTGAGCACAGGTCTACTTCGGAGCATGACAGAACATGCTTGACAGAAGTGTCGGCATAAGACCGCTGCATGCGATTGCATGCACAAGCTGTTGAACGACGCGCAAGTCGCTTCAAGCTTCCAAGGCACACTGCAATTCTTGCTCCGTGCTTGCAGCAAAGCGAGGGTCTGGATATCACGCTCCAGGTATTCCTCGTAGGTGCCTTTGCCAGGGCCGAGGATGGCAGTCTCCCAGTCTTGGGCTTCAAGAGCAGGGATGCTATGATCCATACGGTACCATACTTTTCTGGTTCACCCTGAATCCCAAAACGAATTCAGCGTTGTGTCGGCCAGGGTAGGGTAGGTTGCAGAGGATGCCAGGCATGCCAGGCATGCGACCTGTGAAGGCTGCGGCGTCTCCGCAACGTGCTGCACGTGCAGCTCCTGAAAACACGCTCGCGTGAAATTCCTCTCCAATCTTGACTCGACGGGAACTGTGCAAAACATGCCACGAGGAGGCATCAAAAAGCTCACATCCAACATAAGGAGAGAGGTCCGTAAGGAGATATACTCGAAACATCCAACATTCCAGGGAGAAACACTTCACATCGGAGAAGTTGTGCAATAGGCACTGAAGAGTCATCTCCCAGCCCACATGATCATGAGAACAGCTGTAATGGTGAGTGTTGCACTGCTGTGCGATTTGCGCACTCGCCTTTGAACATCGGGAAATCGGCACTCGCATCCTGCGTTGATGTAGTTCATATCGTCGTAGAGTTCGCAGGTTGCCAGCTTTGCTGACCGGCTGGCATCTAACTCCTTGGTAAGCCACGATCGCCACGTGCAAATGCAGGAAGTATCTCAGACACTAAGATACCGTCGGTACATGCACTATGGCAGGGTGATGACAAACATGCAGCACCTGAACCCCGAAACTCAAGTACTATAAATCTTGACACACTGACCTGAAACCTCTAAACCAGAAACCCGAAACCAAAATATTGTAAAGCTATTTTTCCTGTAGCACTCTATTACTGTAATGGCTTCCAGTAAGATTCGCAGTTCCCGTTCTTCACAATCAGGTCCGCCTCCTCAGCTTCGACTCCATGTCATTCGCTATAGAGAAGGGTCTGTGGCTTGACGAGGCACTTGTGACTTGCAGGTAGCTAGGTCGGCATGGATGGTGGTTGTGGTGGGCGCTCCTGGCCAGAAGCTGCACTATGCTGCACTCTTGTCACTGCGCGCTCTTCGGTTTGGGGCTTTGGGTCTGTTGGGTTTAGGTGCAAAGCCAGCTGAGCTGGCACTTCGGTCAGTCCTGTGGTTGTTGTGGTGCTGGTTGTGGTTGAAGTCAGAGCATTCGCCTGAGTTAAAATGGCCATCCTACTCCTGCCTTCGCGGTGCCACTTCTGAGTAAGCAGTCTGCCGCGCCTTTCCGAACGCAATATCCTTGGCACTGATGCAGGCCTGGTAGAGGGTTGTGTTGTCAATCGCCTGGCTGAGGATGTGAATGACGGGGCCGGGGTCTAAAACAAAAACCTTTGAAGCTTCACAGGCACCGTCTGAGCAGCTTGGTGTTGCGTGGTAATATCCTGTAGGAGCCTTGCGTGAGGCTGCAACATCACAGCAAGCGCTGGTCATGATGCCGATCACGACCCGCGGCAAGAATTGGACTTGCAACACTCCCTGGCTGGCCCAATTTGGTTGAGAATTCGGCGTGGTGATCAAGGTGCGGATCGCTGATATGGCTCCCTCATGAGCTGGCTGGCCCTGCAAACCGTCAGATGTCTGGGGAAATCTGAGATGCAAAGATCTCCCACGGGCCTCCAGGGCTAAGGAACCGAGGGCTCCAGCAACCTCTGCAAGCGTCTGAGGCGTCTGAGGTGTCCTGAGGCATCGCGCTATGGCAAAAAGTCCACACCACACGACCGGTCTTCGGTGCCCGACGCCACATGATTCTGCAAGAGCTGCAGTATCCTGCAACGTGTTGACAGGCTCAGGAATCGTAAGGGCTTTCCTTGCTCTTAGCTGCCGAGGCGCCGCTGCCCTGCCGGGGTCGTCTCGGCCGGAACGCCGACGACGTACACCTCAGAGAGCTCGTTTCCGAAATTGTTCCAGGTCCGGAATCTTTGATACGGACCCTGAGACCGTCAGTTGAGCGGGGGACCAAAAATAGGGCGCAAATGGTGCGGCCTGAGGTGTTCTGCACTGCCGCTGCAGACACACATGCTGTGGCACACTTCTGTGCCGGAGTGTGACATTGACATCTGCTGCAGCTGCAGGTCTGTGTCGCCCACCAGGCATCTTCATTGCAACTGGCTGGTGGGTGGGACACGTTTCTATCCCCCCGGTCTAAGATTTCCCTGATTAAAAAACGGACCGCCGCAAGAGACAGTGGTGCATGTCAACCGGCAGCCCATGATGCGTGCTACGGTGCTGTTTGATAGCCCGCGTACGAACAAGGTGCCACTTGCAAATGTCAGCACTGGAAACATCTTTTCACTCTTCGCACAAGTACCTCTCAAAGAGGCGTGCTTCCACCAAAGCCGCTAGACTCGCAAGACCATGAGATGCTGCCTTGCTGGCCCGGCAGCCCAGCGGTGTCTCGCCGCACAGCAATGTTCTTAGCCATGCATGCGCCATGCTACCAAGACTAATCAGCTGAGATGCGAAACTACATCTACCAGCCGGGGCTAAGAGCAGCTGGATGCCACACCTGTGCCTGTACCTGCTGCTGCTAGACTATCGGCACCGATTCGCACACGACTTCTCATGCTACCAAAACGGGCTGGCAAAGCCTGCATTTACCTGCCAGCCTTTACCTATATTAATGTGGCAATCCAACTGTGCTGCGAGCTCCTGCGCTGTAAGGAACTCTTGTTAGGCCAGACTCTTCGGAATCACAACCTACGGGGAGCTTTGCCTCACGTTTGCGTAAGCATCCAAGATGCCAAAGAACAGATCATCTTCGCCTGCCATACTTCGTGTCAGAAGAGCTGTGCCCGAGAAGTGTTCTGAAGAACGTTTGCATGCCAGATCTGTGAAAAAGAACACGGGAAACGGCAGGATGGACTGCTGCCACGTTTAGTGTGCACGGCCTTGCACAGAGCTTCGCCATTGTTGCGGGTCTGTGAAAGCCTGCTCAGCCACTCTGTCACAGGGCCGACCCCCGTCCCTCGCTCGAACCGCGTGCCTGCTCACCTGGATCTTGGGAGCCGCCTCGAGAGCTTCGTGGCGTGTCACTGTGACCCGTAGGGTGCCTTCAACCCCAGGGTCCCAAACGCTCAAAGAGTCACCCCTTCTTCCTTGCTCTGCATTTCTGCACACACTGGGCTCCCGGACCTAGGCTGGCAGCCTCCGGGGACTGAAGCAAAAACCCGGCTTCGCAGCACGTTTCGCACGAACGATCGAGGGGCCCCATGCCCGAAGCCCTAAGCAACATGAAAATGCAGCAGCAAACGCTTCGACCGGAGCCTGCTGCTGGTTTGTTGCAGACCCAGTCCTGCTGGACAAGGAGAACGAACAACAACAAGAAAATGAAGACCCATATGGCGACTAGCTGGTGACAAGCTGTAAGCACACTGACAAACCTTTGCAAATATGATAAGCTGGTAGGTAGCACAACAAATTAATCAAACCCCACGCTTCCTCTATGATGCCCAATGAAGGCACCCACAGACTCCAAGCCCCACCCTCCCACCCACAGGATCAGCCAGAAGGGCCTGTAGAGAAGCCGTAAGCTCAGACAAAAACCGCACCACCCCAGACTCGGAGAGCCGTAAACTCTAAACCCCACACGGCACTCGTCAAGCCCTTCAGCCCGAAACTGGCAACCCTCAGCTCCAAATGTCACTAATCACCCAAAGCCCGGTTTTGCTCCTATGTCCCAACCTCCCTGAATCCGAATCACCAAGGCCCTAAGCCTTGGCGCACCTGGAAAGCACCACCCCAAACCCCTAAACCTTAAACTTACCTTTGGTGAGAAGGGAATGGAGGATTGGGGTACAAGTATAAATACTATTACTACCATTCTTCCATTCCCTACTAACCAAAAGTAAGTAAACCCCCAATCCTAAACCCTCGAGAAACACATCAACAGGAATTGCTTGTCATTGCTTGCGTTGAACCCCCCTAAACCGTCAACTTCAAGCCCATCCCCAGCGCCCAGCCCCAGTCCAGCCAGCCCATGGCCTGCCCAAACATAACAGCAATTGGAGAACCCACCCAGCCCAACCCACCCCCGCGGCCCACCAAGTCCTGAACGAACCCAGCCCCAGATCAGTCCCAGCCCCCATGGCCAGAACCCCGCCCCGGCCCATCCTACTCCGAAAAACGTTTCGGTCAAAACGTGATTGGCACCCAAACCCCTACAAATTTCTATAAACCCTAAACCCTAAACTTCCCTAAACCCTCAAACGAGAGAGCCTTTGATCTTCCAACGGATGGTCTGCAGATCTTCCCCAGAGTAGGACCTGGGGGCTTTTTTGTGTACTTTTTTTGGGGGGGAGGTTGAGGGGACTGAAGGGATTTCAAGGGGGGTTTGAAGGTTTTTGGCTTTATGGTTTAGGCTTTGGCGGTTTCGGTTTGGGGTTTAGGGTTCTGCGGGGGTTTAGGCGGCTTGGGGAATGAGGGTTTAGGGTCTCTCGAAATTCTGAGTTTGGGGTTCAGGGCCCTAATCCGAGTCGGCGGCGCCCACGGCGAGGCCCAGGACCGTCACCTAGGGGTTTAGGGTGTAGGATTAGGGGTTTAGGGTTTAGGGGTTTAGATTGGGGAAGAAGGAACTATGGAAGGCCCAGACAACCTGCGAACTCGAATAACGAATCCGAGTAGTCCGCAAAGCACCGCTAACAGTATGAAGTCCCCAAACTAGTGGGAGTTTGAAGGTGTTGGAGGTGGGCGGCTGATTCCTGCAACACGGATCCATGACATTGAGAATTCACGGTGCAGCTCGTGTGCCAGCTGAGGCATCGACAAACATCATTTGGCCAAGCTGTCCTATCCGGCCCTCCTTCGCAAGGTGCTTGGCCGTTCCAGTTCCTTCTATCTGAGGGCTTCGACCCCTATGAACGTTACAAGTACTGCAAAGGTGCCTGAAAGAGGAGCCCGCAACTTTCTGAACAACCCGAGGTGCAACCCTGGGCCGAGCATTCGTCCCTCCCTCTCCTTCCATACATGGGATCCACTGTGGCAGAAAGGCCCAGAAGAACCGAGGTGACTTCATTCGTGTCGTTGTCATATCACTCCAAGAACCCCCCAAAAAAGGGCACGGCCGTGTCCTTGAGGGGTGTGCCGAAAACGCGGGCCAAGCCAAAAGGCCAGGAAACCTGACTCAGAAGAATCGGATTCCAAAAACTGGACTGTATTGCTTCTCTTGGATGGAAAGGCGTGCCAAAAAGCTTCACGATGTTTCACCAGTATGAAATCGAGCAGCCTTATACTTACCCTCGAATCCGCATCTGTGGGTGCACATGGTACCGCAATGCATCACAGCTCGACCTCCAACTTCCCAAGCCACACAGGTAGCTCCCAGTCGATCATAGCAGTGATGCCCCTATATACCTGAAAAATCCACAGCGGTCACTTTCCAAGGACCCAGCTGGCCACACATATCCATCCCAGCTCTCCATGCGGACTGCAGGTGGCTCCGGTTTAGGGTGTCAGGAGCATGGCTTTGCCTGGCTTTCGGCGTTTGAGCTTCCGAGGATTTGGGTTTGGGTGATTGGCATCAACAGCAGCGGGCTCTTATCAAACGGCCCCTGTACTAAACCTGCATGCACCCGCAACGGTCATCAAGCCTTCGATCGCTCACTGATCTTGCGCAGAAAGACAGAGATGTGTCTTCTACGGCCGCATGATGTACTCAGCGTGTCGTTGAATCGACCGGTTACAGTTACAGTCACAGAGCTCCTTCCGGCAGTAAGCTGAACAACATCACGTGCAAGTACCGTATTGTGTTGTGGGCCAATGTTTGCTGCTGCTACTGCCGTTTCGGCTTCTCGCGCTTCAGGGTAAGCTTTAGAGCATAGTTTTTCGAGGACTGCATCTGCGCATGGCTGCACCATGGGAGCCTCATGGGCCGATAAGCTGCGAGTTGCTTTGAATCTTGCGGCCAGCTGCACAGCAGCTGCACAGCTGCCCTCACCGACTCCCGCAACCGCTTTTTGTGCACGGACGGCACGAATTCTGAGTTTGCAGGCTCCCTTGAAGATGCCCTCATGCAAAGCTGCGCTCACGCCACAACACTTCGATGTGGAGCTGGCTGTGAAGCTCTCGCGCAGCTACTTGCACCCAGAAAGTCCTCTGAAGCAGAACACCTTCAGCTCACTGCGCACCCACACTTTACCATGTATACATGGAGGCATACTGGAATGTATATATGTGTGTATATTCACATCCACACCCACACCATGCACCTCCGTATATTGACAATACCTTGCAGTTCTGTTCAGAACGAGGACTGACGTGGTGGAAGCTGAGCAGGAAAGGGGAACAGTTGGAGCGATGCCTGATGTCCGAGATGACACCTGGCTTGGGGCAAGTCGGCCCCAGGGTGCTCATTTAGCCCCCTTCTCCTAGGACATGGGAAGGATCTGACATCAACTCAGCGCCACCAGAGCCGTCTGCGCTTCTTGCGAGTTGCCCCACAGGCCAAGGCCCGATTGGCTTGCCGCTTCTTCTCCTGCGGCTCTATGCTCTAGAAAGCCTAAACCCTAAACCCCAACCCCAATATAAACCCCCTCAAACCCTCTCTCTCTTTGGGCCTTAGAACCCAAAGAGAAACCCTAAAGAACAGCCCTCTCCTTTTGGGCCCTGGGATCCCCTGAAACCCGCGTTTTTTGGGATCCGCTCCGCTCCGCGGGCCTTGAGCTCTTTCAAGAGCTTCAGCTCTGCTTTGAAGGCTTCGAATTCGGACTCGACCTGGTCCTCGGCAGAAGCAGAGGAAACCCCAAGCCTTCTGCCTCGTCTTAAGGTCCAGTGCCAGGCCCAAAGCACAAAGCAGAAACCTGAGTGTCCGGCCATGAGCCGCTCCTGCAAAGCCCAAGCGAAGCTTAGCTGGCTTGAAGTGGAAACCAGGAATCAGAAGCCCATTCCGCCTGGTTCTCGATGACCTCTTGCTGGCTCTGCCCGGCCGCGGTGAGGAGGGCAATCAGGTCCTCAGATGCTGGGGTTCAAGTCCCTTCCTCAATGCCTCGGTGTCGCTTTGCTAACATGTGCCAACTTGAGCACGCGACAAACATCTGTACCGTCTTGGAATTCTCCACACCTGGCGCTGCCATCGTCACATGCGATACCCTTTCCAATCACACGAA